GTCGGCCGCCCCAAGTTGAGTTCGTGATATAGGAATGGACGTCTTTGAAGTCGGCCGAGATCATTTCCTACATCACGAGCTTAACTTGGGGCGGCCAACGTCTTCGAAGTCGGCCGAGATTATGGCTTCCATAAATTTCAAGCAGGGTAGACTTGGTTTCACACTCCAACTCCTAAGTGATAGCATTAATAACTTTATGGAAGAAATAATCTCGGCCCACTTCGAAGACGTCCCCAAGTTGTTCGTGATATAAGACGTCTTCGAAGTCGGCCGAGATTTTGTCATATCTCCAATGGAAGTCGAGTCGTTTTCCCGCGCATTACCAAATCATCAATATGGTGGAATCATTTTAACGTCTTCTCCATGAGGATTTCAAAAAGGCATTATTACTCAATCCACCTCCATACATGCGCAATAACACTTTCGCTGCTTGGGATATAAAATGCGCTTGCGCTTCACTCTAAGTAGCCTAATAATTACCTATATTGGAAAATCAAATAAATATAAAAATATTATTTATAACAATTTTTTTTAATAAAAATATTAATTTAATTTTTTATAAGAAATATTTGTAGGTGCATAATTTCTAAAAGATTCCTGATGATGGGTTTTGTGATGAAACCCAACTAAAAGAATGAGGTTAGAATCGTAGGCGTGATGTCAACAATAGAAGACATTTTTAGAATTTCTCATACCTTTAATATCATTTTTTTCTTGGTTAATACACGGGCAACTGTTGGATTGTTCGTTGGATGCTGTTGATGGGTTTAATTTCGTTTCCGGGCTGGAGAAAGAACTGTCGTCTTCGTTTGACGCCATAACAAACCGAAAACTATGCCCGGACGATGGTTAGAAATCGCGCAATCGACGCCGTTTGTGACATTAATTCACCGGATACACAACACGAACGCACCGAACACAGCCGGAAGTAATCAAACGACTACTCGGTACGTCTTTACGACGTTATTTTTTTCGTTTATTTTCGACGAAACGTGCTAACGCCGTTTATACGTTTCGAGCAAACTTATCGCCATATTGTTACCGGTTGTTTGCAGACACAGTGGCGTAACATGACACCGTACCCAATTACTTATTCAAAATTATTTACTAATTTACAATCTGTTTTGCAATTCAACCAAGAAATCACGTTTGAAATAATAAAATAGCAACAAAACCAATTTTTATTGTTAGTTATGTAAGTTGAGTTGACGCGATATGAAGGTTGGTAAGTTTGTGTGGTTGTTACGCCACTGATTTGAAGCGTAAAATAGGATAGATATTTTGAATTTCGTAATAGCTATTATTTAAAAAGAAAAAAGGTCTCCTCAACATTGCTATTTGTTCATTTATATAAACTAAAATTTTATTTTAATTTTTTTAAAGCGAACATGTCACGTTTTTATTCGTGTAAATCAATGTTTAATGTTTGCGTGCTACAAGTCACGTAGGCATTGTTGATTGTTGACCGCAAATAATCTCTCCATTTTCTCACAAAAAAATTTGTTAATCTAACCTCATTTTCCAAAAATGTTAACATTTATTTATTTTTTTCAATTATATATAAGAAAAGGGGTTCTTGAAGTATTTGTCAGAATTAGGGTATTAAAAATTATTTTGGAAACACGAAAATGCTAATAATTAATTTTATGGAAAATGTTTCTAATAAAAACATTTTTAAGCTATTTTAAACGCGGTTTTAACCCATTTTGTGTTGCGCTGCCTCTTTGGAACCAATATTTAGATATAAAAATCTGAATTATTAATAGATGGCGCTTATCTCATTTGAAGCTGCTGTTATTAGGGTGATCTATATTGAAGGGGCTAATAATGATATATAAGATAAGCTTTGAATCAAAATAATAATAAACTCTTTGAAGATTTATTGTAGTCCATCAAAGTGTAAAACTACGATTTCACCTACTTTTCAGATTTTCGTATTTTTCTCGATATCTATGCATCTGAGAGCAAAAGTGTAAAAGAGCAATATTATTAAGAATAAAATTTGCTACAACTTTTATACAAAAACTTTTTTTATAATACGATTTTAACTATACTATATTTTACAAATTATTGGGTTTGGGGTTAAGATATAAATAAAAACTAATTCAAAAAAGAAAATTATTGTTTCTTCTCTTTATTCCACATAAAATACATAACTGGATGTTAATGATAAAAACTTCATACGCAGAAATGAATTGACTCTCCCCTCGTAAAAACGCGAAATACATCCGTTTTTTATTTATTTATTTATTTACTGACAGTATCAAATATTTCAATTATTTTTTTTGCCTCATTTATCACTGTATGTAGTATGTATACGAACGCACACCAACTTAGGCACAATAAATCTTTTTTAAAATTACAATTACCGTATTTTTCTTTTATAATTTTTATTATAAAATTTTTTTTAAATGAGACGCCTAAAAAGGTACTCTAAGTTGGAAAAGGAAATCAAAAACGAAGCGAAAAACAAAAAGAAATAATGGCATCAGCAGTGAGCTTCTTCCCTATTTGCAAGGGAAATAAATCAAGAACCTATTTATGTATTATGCCATTTATTATAAACGTTAATATTATCGTTATAAATTAATTATTAAAGAGGTTAGGAAGGGTGGAGGGTTTGCGAAAAACAAAAAAATTAATGTCATGATGAAAATTCTAAAAAACCATTAATTATATAGTGACGCGATGCGATACTGCAACTTTTTTTGAAGGAGAGAAAAACAAAAAATAATAAACGAAGTGTTTTAACAGGTAATTCGATCAAAAAAAAAATTAATAAAATAATAGTCGGCACGTTATAGCAACACTCAACATTATTTGGCAATAAAAGGGTATCTATTCTAAAACTTATATCCTATGATGTGTTATACAAAAACACAATTCATTGTTTCTGGAAGTAAACCAAAAAATGTAATGAATAAAAACATCAAAAAAATTCCATTTTTTAAATTAATTCTTTTTAATTAATAATTTTTGCTAAAGCTTTAAAAGTAAGCACCTACCAATGATACTCGTTTTCGGACAAAGCATTCATCGCGCTTCAACCAAAGAAGAAAAAAATAAAATTAAGAGACAAGGATATCGAGCACACAAGATATCACCACGACAAAATAATATTAATACATTAAAAATCGATTATAGTCACGATTACAAGTTGTTATAAACGATTTTTAACATATAAAAGGTTAGATTAAGGTAATCCTTTTTACCGATGATATCGAAAAACGCATAAAATTACGAGTTCTTTATGTACATCTATGTTGGAACGCCAGTGTCAATGAATTAAAATATTAAAATTAATATCAGCCCACAAATAAATTTTCATAGTAGGCTATGATCTATATAGTTTATATTTATTTGACTTGTTATCACTAACAGAGATGTTTATGCTAAACTGGCTAATAATTTTAAGTATGGCACAAAATCATATGCCAATTTAAATTTATTGATCTAAAAAAAATTCTGTTAACTACTTTCTCTGTCACACCTTGTACTATAAATGATATCAAGTACCATGGTATATGTTGCTAACTTATTAATATATTCACAGCCTACTCAAAATGAAAATATATTTGAAGGCGTAATAAAATATTTATGTTATCGATTCAATTAATATTTGATAATTTGAAAAATAAATTGGTGAACAATTACAAAAAATTGAATCAAGCGTAAGAAAATAACATTCTTTTCTCTTTTTTTTTTTGTTTTTTTTTTCGATATAATATTCCCGATAAAAATTTTGATAGTGTTGGTGCCAATAAGTTACCCATATGGTACGAATCTACGTTATGAAATTTTATTATTATTTCTTTTTTATATTCACTCAAAAATGAAACAGTATAAAAACTTATGTAAAAACATAGATTATACCAAGTGAGCATTTTATTTAAAATGTAGTAACAACGCAGTAGTAACACTGACTAGCAACCGAGACCCTCGTCGGGCGACACGCTACAAAATAATTCTCAAAAAACACTATTAATCCTAAGTAACAAATTTTATAGTTTTTTTCAATTTTTTTCCTTGGCTAGTTCAATTTTCCCTTTCCTTTCATATTTTTTATTATTTTTTAAGAGGATTTTTTTGTACCAATTTGACATATTAAACCGGAGAATTTAAGTGAGACCTGAAGTTTTCTGCATCCGTCCGCGCCCCATTTTTTTTTCTTTTTTCTTTTTATTAACCCAGGGATGGGAAGTCACGCTCGTCATCCACCTTAGGCGCACCACGGTTATCAATCCTATCTTCTCCACCAACACCACCACCAGCCTGCTATTAATAAATATCATATAAAAAAATTATTTTTATTTTTTGTTCAATTTCTTACTTGTTCTTCATTTCCCCGGAAACGATCACCACCGCTGCCGCCGCCGCCGCCACGTCCAGTTCCAGTTCCTCCAGTTCCCGTTGGTCTTTCACGTCCTTCCCGATTATTGCGTCCACCCCTTCCACCACCGCGTCCACCACGTCCACGTCCCAATCCCGCTCTCCTGCTATCATTAAAATGTATATTGATGTCCAGTACATGTTTTTGACGTCCAACACGTTGGGGATATTCACTTGCATCATATTCTTCATCCTCAGATTCCTATTTAATTAAACATAATTATTTAGATGTCGTCATTTTTAAAGTATGGTACAGTTGATTAAGGGAAAATATAGTTAAACAGTTTTACCTCTTCTTCTTCCTTTTTCTTGCTCAATTCGTACATTTTCTTCCATTGACTTGGGTCCTCTCCTTCGCCAGCTTTACGTATATTATATTGCGGTCTCAATCGTCCAGCCTTTTGGGTCGCTTTCCATTCGTCCAAAGTGAGCTCTTTCGCTTCCTCTTCCACGGGCGTCGGTGGTTCTCGTTCCTGTTCGGGTTCCCTAATAAAAATTATTTTCCTTACAGAATCCAAAAAATGAATGGGAAAATTTTTTTACTTAATCTCGGTCGGGGGTTCAGTCGTTTCCGGTTTATTTTCTCCTCCAGTAGTCCACGTTTCCTCATTCGTTTTATCTGCTTCACTACTATTTCAAAATGATTAAGGGGTTAATTAAAAAAATTTATACGAGGTGATTCACTTTAACTCTTAATTACCACCCCATATTAAGTGCTTAATAATATATTAAAATAAATTCAAAAAAACTTACTCAATGACATCTTTATGGGAGCCCCAATTATGAGCGCCTGCGCCATCGCGTTTGTCAACGGGCTTGACTCCTCTGTAACCATGCCTGCTTTCAGTATTTTTGTGTTTAAAGAGATAAACAACCGAAAATTAATTAAACAGACAACCACCACGGGGATAGAGAGTTAGAGCGCAATTAAATAAAAACTTGAACAAACCAAAAAAATAAAAAATAAAACGAATCGAAAGCCAATCTCTTACGTTTTGTCCGATCCGCTTTGCCTATCAAAGTCCCTTTTCCCACGTCGGTCATCGAAATTGCGTCTTGGTCCTCCACGTCCTCCTCCTCCTCCACCCATTTTGTTCGCCAAAGGCCTGCCTCGGCGATTTTCAAAATTGTCCCCGTCCCTTCGTGGTCGTTCATCCCTTATTAAAAAAACAATAAAACAAAATAAAAAAATTATTATTAAAAACCATTTTTTTTACTTATTATCCGGTCCATTGTAAGGTCTATCTTCGCGATTCCGCCTGTTATTCCTTTCCTCTCGGTTTTCGTTGTTGAATTTATTGTAGGGGCGTTCTGGTTTGTTATCGTTTGACCTTGGAATGGGTTTACCTTCTAAAATAAAAATTTATATTTTCAATAAAACATTTTTTTTCATTTTTTTGCCAAGAACAAATAAAAACTTAAACAAACATAATGAAGAATTTAAAGCAATCACCAGAATTAAAGAAATATTTAATCGAACGATAAAGATAAAAATGTTTAAGCACTTTTTTTGTTTAAAATAAGCAAAGTACGAAAATATTGCCCCATTGTGTTCGTTTGTAATTCGTGAAAATGAGTCACGAAATTCCAGTGAAATCAATTTAACGCGTTCGATATTAAATCCAGCAGTTTTTTTTATAGTTATTTTGAAATAACCCGAAAATATTTAATATATTCCGCCAGTTTTCGACATAATGGTAGCCTATTAAACCGCGATTTTCTGCGAAACTAAATGGAATATACAAAAAATAAAATATGTCCCTTATTAAGAACACATCAAGCACCACCTGTCCAAAATTTAAATTTTTTTCGTCAAGTAATTTTTGAGAAAAAAAATCATAAAGGGGACAAAAATTAAAAATTTTTATCGCGATAAGAAAATTTTCAAAATCACATATTTTATGTAGAAATATTCGGTGATTACAACAAATGGTTAAGAAGATATTCATGCAAACATCGAAAGACTTGATTTAATCTTAATGAGGATTTTATTAAACTTTATTACGTTATGATGTACTGCTAAACATAGTTTTGCAGGTCTTATAGAAATCTGAAGCAGCCTTTAACTTGATAAATGATTTGATTCACATTTAATGAGCAAATTAAGAGATGTAATACTATCTTAATGCTGACTTGACTCTGTGCAGACTTGATGTAGAGTCAATTGAAACAAATTGACATATCGCAGAACAATATACCTCCTTATCTGGAAGCAAAATGAATCAATTTTTCATTTCAAAACACCTGGAATTCCGAGTTCTTAACAATATCGCTCTTTTTCACGTTTGTTCTCAGATGCATAAATAACGAAAAAAATACAAAAATATGAAACTTTGCTGAATTCGTAGTTTTAGAAGTTGTTAATGGTATCACTCGGGATTCGGAGCGTGAAACCAAGTCTACCCTGCTTGAAGTTTATGGAAGAAACAACTCGGCCGACTTCGAAGACATCGGCAGCCCTAAGTATTGCTCATGATACTTGGGGCGGCCGACGTCTTCGAAGTCGGCCGAGATTATTTCTTCCATAAAGTTATTAATGGGATCACCCAGTATTTAAAGCGTGAAACCAAGTCTACCCTACTTGAAGTTTATGGAAGAAACAACTCGGCCGACTTCGAAGACGTCGGCCGCCCTAAGTATTGCACATGATACTTGGGTTGGGTTGGGTTTCATGATACTTGGGGCGGCCGACGTCTTCGAAGTCGGCCGAGATTAATTCTTATATCACGAAAAAACTTGGGGCGGCCGACGTTTTCGAAGTAGGCCAAGATTATTTCTTCTATAAAGTTGTTAATGGACCACTCAGGATTCAGAACATGAAACCAAGTCTACCCTGGTTGAAGTTTATGGAAGAATTAAGTATTCAGTATTCTTCATGATACTTGGGGCGGGAGATTATTTCTATTTTTTCTTATCCACCAGGGTAGACTTGGGTTCATGTTCAAATTGGGTTGGATCAAGATATCTGCTTTTACTACTAAAATCAAACACACTGTATAGGCTCTTCATTAATAAAGGGTTAAACTTATAAAAATAACAATATTAATAATCATTTTAACTTTCCCAAAAAAGTCGAATTTATCAATTCATTCTTAATAAATGAGTCATTAATAAATTTCTAATCTAAGCTCCAAAAGTAGCAATACCAAATCATTGTTGAAATTAGTTGTGAAAAGTCATTGCATAAAAATGTTTAATAAAGGTTACAAAAAAAGTTAAATTCCAAGAATGAAGTAATTAATAATTTTTTATTCAACTTGATGTTAGATATCATAAATCAAACAAGAAATTTTTGTTGCAAACAAATATTTTTTTAAATCTTAAATAGGATTATTAAGAAAATTGATAAAATTGAGGACTCATAACTTTTAATGAGTTTTTTCATTTAAAAATTTACAATATAGATATAGAGATATGACAAGGTTAGTTTTCCCAAAAAAGGTTAAGTTATAGTTTTAACAAAAAGATATCTAAACAAATCGATTTGAGTAAGCCGGGAAACTTAAATATAAAATCTAGTTTCATCGACGTAAAATAAGATTGATGGAGTATTTACTTGGTAAATAAGTAAAAAAGTGTGGTATAGAAATCACATGTGCCTGAACATGGCCGTCTCAATCGGTTTCAATGAAGGTAGATATATAAATATAAATTAAAGTATATATACTCACCTTCGCGCTTGTTATCTTGTATTTTATGATTTGGTGGATCTTTAACGACCTTCTTCTGGGGCAGTGCGGTCTTGCCTTTAGCCGGGGCTTCGGTCTTAACCTTGTTTTCCTTCTCGGCAACCTTCGTCTTCTTTTTCAGCTCTTTCTCTTGCTCCTTCAATTTAATCGTTTCCAACGGGTCCGATTCGTCATCGAGGAAAAGCGCGTAACGGTTCTCCACACCGATGCCGTAGGAGTTCTCCATCGCTCCGAAACTGAGCTCGCCTCTTCTCAACTTTGCGATGTTGGAAGATTAAAAATTTTCGGCTTCGTTCAAGCCCTCTGTTTTCACGCAATCATTCAGCACAATATGGCCGGCTTTGGGTTATTGGATGCACGAGGAAATCAGCACATGCGCAACGATACAAGAACCTTACTGCGCATGACAAACAAACGATTATAACTATAAAATGCCGGTTATAATTAAGAGGAATATTATGTTAGTTACGCAATTTTTCTTATAACAATCAAATTTAGAAATATATGTAAAATTTATTCTTTTATCTTGATTATTATTGGTTTAAGTCAGATTTTTTTTTTGAGGTTATGATCCGTTTTGAGGTTATTACGCAAGTTACTACTTTGCCGACTTATATTACGTAATACCAACTTTAAGGAAGGAAATGTATCAATGGGGGATAAATTAAAATGATTTGATTAGAAGATTTTGTTATTTATTTCTAATTAAAAGTATAAACAATAAAATAAAACTTTTCTGTTACAATTTTATTTAGATTATGTAATATTTCGAAAAAACGTTTGAACGAATAGTAGAAAAAACATCTTCGGTTGTCAGTTAATTAAGACTTAAGGTCCAATTCGATAGCTTCTCATTACCACTATTTCAAAAAAAAATAATAATAATTACAATATTTACTTATTTACGGTTACATCGTAGTTACATTTGATTCACATTTATAAAGGAAAAAAAGAACGTTTTGCCAAAAAGAAAAAAGAAGAAATTACATTAAGTTACAGTTTATATCGCACATCGAAAACAACCATGACCAAATATTTTTCTAGTACACTTGTATTCCGGATTTGCTGCTGTTTCTTTTTTATTTTTATTTTTCTTTTTAAGGAATACGTGAAGGTAGTAAGCATTATTTTAAAATTAAAATTTACGATATTGCAAATCAACTTGTTTTTTCTAATATATCTATGTAAAAAAACAAAAGTACATACAATGGTCACACTAAATCTACAACATTATCTTGAAAATTTGATGAACATGTTGTTAATAAATAAATATATAATCTTGTAAAAACAAATTTTATGAAAGTATAATAAATCATAATTCTTTCTTTCAGTTTTTTTTTTTACTAAATTCTTTTAACAATACATATTTATACGGTAAGTGTACTGAATTTAATTACATACACGGCCGAAACTAATATAGGTGCAAAAATGGGAGTCATTAAAAAATTCATTCAGTTTTTTATCGTATCCTGATTAAGCACGTCTTCGCGCACCTCCTCAGTAAATACTTGATAGTTTTTTTCATTTTCTTATAATTTTTTTTGTACTAATTCTATTTATTTAACAATTTCTTAAGCACCTAAACTGAAACGTTAATCATCGTAGACGCGAGCGAAACAAAATTAATTGAATAAGTGTCAAAAAAGAAAAGCAACTCATATTACAAAATAGGGAAATATTACATAACACATTCATACCTTATCCAAACTTACATAACGTTCTAAAAGATACATGTAAAGCTATCATACTTTACAAAATAAAATATATATATTTTTTCGTTCTTTTTCTGGATGAAATTCTAAATTGTTAGTTTTTTGTAAAATACAGAAGTCAATGAAGATGTACAAAAAAGTAATTAATACATTTAAATAGTTATCAATATAAAAGAAAAAAACAGCTGTTCAAATTTTTTAACACCAAGTAATAATAGGCATAGTTAATAAATAAAGTTTCAAAAAAGTGAGAACAAGTTAACAATAGGGAAAACCCCTAAATTTTCCATTCTAACTAGTTTTTTCTTTTTTTTTTTCAAAATCTTTTATAATAGCTACGAAAAAAATCGCAATATCTTGTAGAAAATTATTTCTCGTTATTTTTTTTCCTACCCTTTTCTCTTTCTTTCTCTCTCAGCGTCATTCTTTAACGTTTTCTTCCCATTTTTTTCCTCTAAATTTACAACAACCACACTACTAACGCACTCTCATAACATATATCTATATATCCGTAATCATTTGTTTCTTTACAGCTGTCCCTTTGCTTCCGGTTGCGACGTGTTTCGATGATATTAATAATGATGGGTATGTCGGGCATTTACAATCTGTAAATCAATACAAATTTTTTTTATACAACTCAATTTAAATTTACAATAAAAATTTTTGTATAGTAATATAGAATTGAATTTTTTTAGAGGTTTCATAACGGTGTGTCCTTTTCCGATTTTTAGTATTTTGATTATAACAAGAAAACTTCAAGAAAAATAAAATAATACAAAAATGACTTTTAACTGATAACTTGTAAATGTTGTACTCGATTATCAAGATCTATATGTGATATACACAAAGTGTTAATTAAGTATCTTTTTAATAATATTTAATAATAATTTAATTTCCCTGTGAACAGTATAGTACTGAAATTCAAGATTATTTTAATAATTATTGTTTGTATCAAAATATTTTTCAAATAAAACTTGTTAAGAATTAAAAAAGGAACAACTTTTATTGGCACCATTTTTTAAGATCATCAATTTTTTAATTTCCCTCTGAACAGTATAGATTTAATTCAAGATTATTTTCCTAATTATTGTTTGTATCAAAATATTTTTCAAATAAAACTTGTTAAGAATTAAAAAAGGAACAACTTTTATTGGCACCATTTTTTAAGATCATCAATTTTTTAATTTCCCTCTGAACAGTATAGAAACTAAATTCAAGATTATCTTCCTAAGTATTGTTTGTATCAAAATATTTTTTAAACAAAACTTGTTAAGAATTAAACAAGGAACAACTTTCATTAGCATCATTTTTTAAAATCATCAACATTTTAATTTCCCTGTGAATAGTATAGAAATCAAATTCAAAATTATCTTCCTAATTATTGTTTGTATCAAAATATTTTTCAAATAAAACTTGTTAAGAATTAAGTAAGGAACAACTTTCATTAGCACCATTTTTTAAAATTATCAATTTTTTAATTTCCCTGTTAACAGTATTGAAATTTAATTCAAGATTATTTTCTTAATTATTGTTTGTATCAAAATATTTTTCAAATAAAACTTGTTAAATATTAAGTAAGGAACAACTTTCATTGGCACCATTTTTTAAAATTATTAATTTTTTAATTTCCCTGTGAACAGTATTGAAATTTAATTCAAGATTATTTTCCTAATTATTGTTTGTATCAAAATATTTTTTAAATAAAACTTGTTAAAAATTAAACAAGGAACAACTTTTGTATGCATCATTTTTTAAAATTATCAATTTTTTAATTTCCCTGTGAACAGTATAGAGATGGAATTCAAGATTATTTTCCTAAATATTATTTGTATCAAAATATTTTTCAAATAAAACTTGTTAAGAATTAAAAAAGGAACAACTTTTTTTAGCACCATTTTTTAAAATTGTCAATTTTTTAATTTCCCTGTGAACAGTACAGATATTGAATTCAAGATTATTCTATACTTCGTTCTATACTTAATGAACACCTTGTATATCTATATGTCACATTATAGCATTTGATTTGCCATAGCTTCTTCAACCCAATAGTTTAAAATTAAAATATAAAACGCTAATTATATATTTTGACCATTTTTCGCTTTTTTTATTACACAAACTTACCTAATTTTCATAAAATCTCGGCAAATTTCAACAATTTTCGAGATTTTCAACAATTTTTATTAAAAAATTAACATAAAAACCTGAAAAAATTTATATTTTTTCCTTACCTTTTGTCCACCTAACTTGTACAGCAGGTCCATAACCATAAATATGTTGAATAAGATATTGAAATCTGAGCACATTTTCGTCGAGAATCGATGTATTTCGAACAGTACAATAGGTATTGAAAAAGTCTTCAGTAAAAATTGAAGAAATTTCGTCAAAATAGCTGTTAAAATAAGCAGCTAAAGGAAAAAGCTCCAAGTTAACGAAAGATATAGAGAAAGTAGGTCGTGTCGTCAGCGAATATTCATTGAAGGCAACAAAATCGTCGTTTTTGTTGGTTTTCATTAAAATTCTTTGCTCACCACGATCCACAAAATCTGCATCTATCTTCACATCTTTGTGTACTTTTTTATGTACAATTCGTCCCGTCTTCTCAGTCTTATAGTCTAATGGTTTTTTTGACATTTGGCCAGTGGCCTCATTGGAGGTAATAGTTGTTTCATTAACTCCTCTGAGGCCACCTCTATATAAAAAATAATTTGATCCTTTTAAACTGCACCCTCCTCTTAAACCAGGCTTAATATAACGCGGTGTTCCCCCAAATAAACCTACTGCTGTCGCTGTTGCTCCAACGACATCGCTATCCATCGCAATATCGGATTGACTTTTATCAGACTCCTCCAAAGACACATCAAGCGATTTATCATCTTCAGCTTGTGACGAGTCTAAAGATGATAAATCTTTGTCTGGTTCCGGATCAATCAAACCAGCTTCAGCCGCTAAAGCAGCCAAAGCTGCATCTGTTGTTGCTGGTCCATCAAATGATGTTGAAGCCAATGTTGCGGATGGTTGTTGAACGGGTTTTTGTTTTGGACGAGAAACCACCATTAATTTTGGCTGTTGGTCGTTTCCTGTATTTACATTTGCTGTTAATGCTGATGATGCTGGAATACGTAAAATTTTTCCTTGTGGTGGTTGAACATATAATGCTTTATTTCCAGTTCCTGATACTTGTACCGTTACAGGTTTTCCACCAATCATTACCTGTTTCTATTCAAAAAACAATAAGTTAATTAATAAAAATATATAAATTAAATAACAATGAAAATTACCGTAACTGTTTTTTGTGTACCAACAACACCCATTGGCATAATAATGGGTTTTCCACCAATTTTAACATTTTGTAAATTTGTAACAGTACCTCCTTTAGTAATTGGTTGAACATTAACCGTGGAAGTTTTTGTTTGGGCAACGTTAACAGCTTGCGCATTGGTGACCGTTTGAATGTTTCTTATGGCGGCATTTGAACTTACAACGATGACTTGTTGGTTGCCTATGGTAGGTATTTGACCGGTGGCGCCTTTTGAAAGTACTATTTGATTTCCTGGTTTGTTCACTTTGATCATATTTGATGGAATTGTTTTAACGGCGGTTAAAACTTTATTGGTGTTGGGTTGTACTAATTTAACGATGGTATTATTTCCGGTTGTCGTTTGTAATACAGTGTTTGGTAGCGCTTTAGAACCTTTTGGCAAAGCGGCGACGGTCATTCCCGTGCTGGTTTTAACCAGCGTGACTATTTGCGGTTGGACGCCACCTTTTTGAAGTAACCCAGTTCCTTTTTGAAGGATTACTTGTTTACCTGCTGTTTGTTGTGGTGTTGCTTGACGAATTATTGTTCCACCTGCTTGTTGAATTTTAACACCTGGTGAAGCTATAACAACATAAAAATTAGATTAGAAAATAATGAGATACTAAATAATAATAATAACTTGCCGATTTTAATTTGTCCTGGTCCAGCAGCGACGGTTATTTTTTGTGTGGCAGCGGCGGCTGCTGCCAAAGCTTGAATACCAGACATGCTACTCTGTGCGGTTTTAACCTGTGCAGTTCCATCAGCGGCCGCTGTGGCTACTGGTAATATAACGGAAGCGTTTGTGGTGACCGCTGCTTTTGTGGCAGCTTGTCTTGCCACTCTCGATAAGATATCTAACGACGCTACTTTTGGCGAAGCAACAGCAGCTGCTGCTGGCTGTACGTTGGTAATGTGTGTTTTTGCAACGTTGGCGGTGGTTTGGGTTCGTTGAGCTGTTAATATTGGTCTTGTGGCGGTTTGTACGCCTTGCTTGGCAGAAGCGGTTACGAGCGGTTTTGGAGCTGGTGGCATAAGTGGTTTTGGATTGGGCGGTACCATCGGTTGCGGTGGTAAATCATACTTTTGTATTTGCAAAATGTATACTTGCGTTTGTGGCGCGCCGGTCCAGTTTACCTCTAATGAACTAGTTGCGGCTTTTAATAAAGCAACTTTTCCGGGAGCGGGCGGTTTATCAACTTCTAAATACCACAAATCTTTGCAACAAACTTGATTGTTCCATGTTTTTCGATACCCGTCTCTTCCCGACCAAACGTAAAGACGATTATTAATGCCAACAGCGCAATGCCCAGCTCTCGCGCACGGAAGGTTTACATCAAAAGTACCAATTAAGAGATCATCCCAGTTCATCGTTTCCAGGTTAAGGCAAGCCATGGTACCGGTGCATTTCCATTCTTTCTCATTTTGCGGCGTTTTGGTGTCCTCTGTAGTAACTGGGACCCAACCACCAAACACAAACATTCTGTTTCCAATTAGCGTGGATGTGTGCAGCGATCTAGGTAGAGGGGTATGCCCCGAAACGGTCGGTTTACTCCAAGTGAGCGTATCCGCGTTCAAAAACCATAAATCCCCCAAACGATAACCGCTCATTCCACCGTAAATAACCAAGAAAGATCGAGATCGTTCCTTATCGATGTACGAGACACCGGTGTGCGACTCCCTAGGTGGAGGCGCTGGACCAACCGTCGGGGGCACTTCCCATTGTACAGGATTTGTACGAATATCCAACGCGTATAAATCATTTAAATAACGGGGTATATTATTTTTTGGGTCTTCGCTTTCGTTTGCTAATCCCCCAAACAAGTACACTTTATCATTTACAAGGGTAAAACTGTGACCAAGTCGAGCACACGGTGCTGTACCGAGTTTTGGTGGACGTGGTTTTAATTTTTTCCATTCCCACCTGGAAGCCTATAGCAATTTTATTTTAAGTTATTTTTATAAAATTACAGTAAAACCACGACATATAGCGAGTCTCAACAGAATATACAAGGTGTTTCACTTAAAATTTCCAGGTCAAGTATCTTTGGAATGAGTTGAGATATTGTAGTTTTGTAAGAGAACATGCAAATTTCTGTTACATGTCATCGAATTCAAAAAATAAATAAATTTTTGCCAGGAGAGAATCTCTTAGCTGAATTTTCAGTTTTGGCAACTTTCTCAATAACGTGAAATCAATGTAAATAAGAAAAGTTCATTGTGAACTATTTTTATGGGCGGCCGACGTCTTCGAAGTCGGCCGAGATATTTCTTCCATAAACTATGAGCAGAGTAGGCTTGGTTTCACGCTCAGAATCCGGAGTGATACCATCAGTAACGTAAAACTACGAATTCACCACATTTTTGTATTTTGCTCGATATTTACGCATCTGAGAGCAAAAATGAAAGAGAGTAATATTGTTGAGAATAAAATTTGCTACAACTTTTATTCCAAAAGTTTTTTTATAACATGCTCCGATTCCTGAGTATTGTTCATGATATAAGAAATAATCTCGGCCGACTTCGAAGACGTCGGCCGCCCCGAGCATCGTGAACTATTTTTATGGGCGGCCGACGTCTTCGAAGTCGGCCGAGATATTTCTTCCATAAACTATGAGCAGGGTAGGCTTGGTTTCACGCTCAGATTCCGGAGTGATACCATTAATAACGTAAAACTACGAATTAACCACATTTTTGTATTTTGCTCGATATTTACGCATCTGAGAGCAAAAATGAAAGAGAGGAATATTGTTGAGAATAAAATTTGCTACAACTTTCGTTCTAAAAGTTTTTTTGTTATATGCTCTGATTCCAAAGTGTTACCATTAAGAACTTGTAGAATTTAGTAAATTTTGATATTTTCTTGATATTTATGCATCTGAGAGCAAACGTGAAAGAGAGTAATATTGTTGAGAATAAAATTTGCTACAACTTTCTTAATAACATGAAATCATGTAAATAAGGAAAGTTGTACAGTTTTTGCTCTGTCACAAGCACCTAATAAAAAGTTTATGTGAACTAAAATATCTCAACCCATTCCAGAGATAATAGGTCTGGGAATTTTAAGTGAAACACCCTGTATATACTGCAATTAGAATAAGACTAGAACTACCATTGTTGATTTATACATAGTGTAGATAAGTCAGGGAATACCCCAAGTTTATCTATAAACATGGAATAGAACAAGTTGGGGAATAACCCAAGTTGGATTATATCTATATAGATATATTTTGTCTCATTATATGGAGGTTTTACTGTATTTAGACAGTATTTTGGAACAAAAATAAATTATATTTACCTGTAGTTCATAAAGTTCACTGCTATATTTTCCATACTCAACCATTCCACCAAAGATTAATAAACGTGTGCCGTCGACGACAAATCCGTAAGCTGCACATCCAGGGGGTATATCCCCCTTCATAATCGGAACGAACCATTGATTAGTAGCTGAGAAAAGAAATAAAAATAATAAATTTTTTTTTAATGAAATTGATACTTGGTTTAGTGATTTGAATTGAATAAGAAGAATATATGTTTATATTTAAAATTGTGTTGGTTTAATAGTTTGTATGTGCCGCCATCTTTACACGCGCATAAAATAAACGTTGGTGTAAAAAGTAGTTTTTGGTTAAATGATGAATAGAAAGGCGAATTTAAATGGAAAAGACTTAATGATTTTGTGTAGGAGGAATGTTGGAATTTTGGGGTCGCTATAATCCTTTACAGATAAAAAGTATAAATAATAACATACACGCGCCATATTTAATGGCCGCGATTCACATCAATACCTGTGTTGTAAACGTGAAGTTCTTCGACTATGCCCTCATTACCGCCCCCGAAAACTACCATAAGATCTTTGATAGCAACGGCGCGATGTCCATGTCGAGGTCTCGGCTGCGGACCGGACGGGTCATTCACTGATTTCCACCGTAGTAGCTTACCCGCCATTATGTGATCACATTGCACTCAAAAACTCGGGACGCCAATAGAATCGCATCAATTTGAACTCTGATTTAACCTAACCTCGCTCGCCCTACCTCGACATAGCAACCGCGTCCGCGTCCTTCCACACGCACAAGGGACAATAATACGAAAGCTCACGAAAGCTAAGCCGGCAGCGCGTCTGGCGACCGACGAACAGGTTATTTCAAACAAAAATGCCCGCTTCGAAAATTAATAATTGTAAACGCTACTGCACGGCGCTGCCAAATACTTCGTTTCAATATGGCCGACAGAAACAAAATGGTTTCGAGTGACATCTCTATTTCAACTTCTCAACTAATCCACGACTACCCACTACCCATGCAACAAACATGAATTTCGATAATCATGCAATTTTTTCACTTAATCAGATTTATAGTATGTAATGTAGATGTCTCCTAATTAGAGCAACTCCAGATCGCTGTATTTATAGTCTTCTAGAACTTTTACTCCTATATTTACTAACATTGTTATACATGTGCTCTCCCAAACTTCAAGAGTTTGTACATGAGACCTTTAATAATAAGTCTTTTTATCCTTTTCAAAGAATAGTTAGCATTCCGATCCATTACAAGTGCGGTTTAATGACGTTCTGCAGACTCGCTCCATCCTGTCTGGTGATATCTACAATCTGTCCTGCAGTTGGAACCACGTATCTTGATGGACGTTCAACCTCACAGTATCCAACAACACGTTTAATACTTGTTGTAGAAAGATCAAGTAGATCGGATCGAAGTCGGCCGAGATTATTTCTTCCATAAATTTCAAGCAGGGTAGACGCTTCGAATCCCGAGTGATACCATTAATAACTTTATGGAAGAAATAATCTCGGCCGACTTCGAAGACGTCGGCCGCATTAAGTATTGTTCATGACACTTGGGGCGGCCGACGTCTTCAAAGTCTGTATAGTCATGTGATTTTTCCATTTTTCCATAACTCCGATTCCTGAGTATTTTTCACGACTACCCACTACCCATGCAACAAACATGAATTTCGATAATCATGCAATTTTTTCACTTAATCAGATTTATAGTATGTAATGTAGATGTCTCATAATTAGAGCAACTCCAGATCGCTGTATTTATAGTCTTCTAGAACTTTTACTCCTATATTTACTAACATTGTTATACATGTGCTCTCCCAAACTTCAAGAGTTTGTACATGAGACCTTTAATAATAAGTCTTTTTATCCTTTTCAAAGAATAGTTAGCATTCCGATCCATTACAAGTGCGGTTTAATGACGTTCTGCAGACTCGCTCCATCCTGTCTGGTGATATCTACAATCTGTCCTGCAGTTGGAACCACGTATCTTGATGGACGTTCAACCTCACAGTATCCAACAACACGTTTAATACTTGTTGTAGAAAGATCAAGTAGATCGGATCGAAGTCGGCCGAGATTATTTCTTCCATAAATTTCAAGCAGGGTAGACGCTTCGAATCCCGAGTGATACCATTAATAACTTTATGGAAGAAATAATCTCGACCGAGTTCGAAGACGTCGGCCGCATTAAGTATTGTTCATGACACTTGGGCCGACGTCTTCAAAGTCTGTATAGTCATGTGATTTTTCCATTTTTCCATAACTCCGATTCCTGAGTATTGTTCATGATATAAGAAATAATCTCCCGCCCCAAGTATCATACACAATACTTATGGGCGGCCGACGTCTTCGAAGTCGGCCGAGATATTTCTTGTATAAACTATAAACAGGGTAGGTTTGGTTTCATCCGCGGAATCCGCAGATATATAGTTTTTTCATAACATGCTCCGATTCCTGAGTTTTGTTCATGATATAAGAAATAATCTCGGCCGACTTCGAAGACGTCGGCCGCCCCGAGCATCACGAAGAATATTTATGGGCGGCCGACGTCTTCGAAGTCGGCCGAGATATTTCTTCCATAAACTATGAGCAGGGTAGGCTTGATTTCACGCTCAGAATCAGGAGTGATACTATTAACAACGTAAAACTACGATTTCAGCATATTTTTGTATTTTACTCGATATTTATGCACCTGAGAGCAAAAGTGAAAGAGACCAATATTGTAGAGAATAAAATTTGCCACAACTTTTGTTCTAAAATTTTTTTTATAACATGTTGCGATTCTTGAGTATTGTTCATAATATAAGAAATAATCTCGGCCGACTTCGAAGACGTCGGCCGCCCCGAGCAAAACGAAGAATATTATTGGGCGGACGACGTCTTCGAAGTCAGCTGAGATATTTCTTCCATAAACTATGAGCAGGGTAGGCTTGGTTTCATGCTCAGAGTCCGGAGTGATACCATTAACAACAAACTCTTCATATGACCCCAAAAGAAAAAATTCAATGAAGTCAAATCAGTATATCGACCGTCCCAAGTATCACGAACAATATTTAAGGCGGCCGACATCTTCGAAGTCGGCCGAGATTATTTCTTCCATAAACTTGAAACCTAAAACATAAGGAAGGCAGATTTGGGAGAAAATATAATGTTATTATAACTAATTATATATTCCTAAATTTTATTTGATTACATATGAAAACAATAATAAATATTTTTACAAAGATTAAACATAGTTATGTATGCGTTACTATATATTACACGTAATTTAGATACAATAAAGCTTTAAAACACATTACACCCAAGTATTATTTTATAATATAATTAATATTAAATTATTTCCTTTTAGTTGACTTATTTTGATGATTAGCTATGTGTTATAAATTCAATTTGCCCAACAATGTGGTAAATTTCAAGTCATCAAAAACGTTTTTTCCATCGCCAATTTTCGGTTTTGCTGATTTCATTGCAAAAACAACTTTCTCCTTTAAATCAGATTTTGGTAAATCACCGCGTAAAAACAATAACCTCAATAAATGATCTTCGGTTATGTTGGGATATTTCTCAACAATGTTGTGCAAATCGAACGAAATCATATCGTCCTGCGCTTTTAACACTTCCGTTAACGTGGTAATCGTTTCCAAGTTCTCATCTTCATCGCGGATCTGATGCGCGATAGCGTCGAAAACGCGTTTAAATTGATCGAGTTCTTTTACAATTTGTGCGGCGGCTTTTTGGCATTCATCAAATGTTTTGAACGCCATCTTTTTCGATAACATAGCCGTTATGTAACGTTTTGCAACTGACATTTTTGCCTCGGATATGACTTCTTCTAAGTTTGTTTCTAAGAGGCGATTATAATCTTGGAAGTAATCGTCGAATGTGGCGCAAATTGTGTCTACTGGGATGTTGTTTCCGATCCATCTCGGCGTGAATAGGTCATCGAAATGTTTTGAAACGTCCATAAATACTTCGTCTAAGAGATATTTTGATGATTCTTTGCGTAATTCCTTTTATTAAAAGATGTGTTATGAAAAATTATTTTTTGTTAATTAATACTTACGTCAAAATAAACTGGGAATGTTTTGATTGCACTTATTTGTTGGTTGTGATTTGGTTTCCAATAAAATTTTTTTAATTGTTCCCCAATATCGATGATTTCTTTGCAATTATTTACGATGGTTATCATGTGATACGTGAAATGCATTACTTGGTTTCTATCTTCAAGGAGTTTATTTCTGTATTCGATGATGGCCTCTTTGTATTGTTCGCCGTATTTTAAAACTTGTTCTATGCTCACAATGAAAGCTTTGTTTGTTATATCTTGACTGAAAAATTAAATTAAATAAATTTGAAAAATTAGAAATTTAGCAAATTTTCGTATTTTTGTACTTTTCTTGATATTCATGCATTTCAGAGCAAAAATGAAAGAGAGCAATGTTGTTGAGAATAAAATTTGCAACAACTTTTGTTCTAAAAGTTTTTTTGTTATATGCTCTGATTCCAAAGTGCTACCATTAAGAACTTGTAGAACCACGAATTTTGCAAATTTTGATATTTTCGTACTTTTCTCAATATTTATGCATCTGAGAGCAAAAATGAAAGAGAGCAATATTGTTGAGAACAAAATTTGCTACAACTTTTGTTCTAAATTCTTTTTTGTTATATGCTCTGATTCCAAAGTGCTACCATTAAGAACTTGTAGAACTACGAATTTTGCAAATTTTGATATTTTCGTACTTTTCTCAATATTTATGCATCTGAGAGCAAAAATGAAAGAGAGCAATATTGTTGAGAACAAAATTTGCTACAACTTTTGTTCTAAATTCTTTTTTGTTATATGCTCTGATTCCAAAGTGCTACCATTAAGAACTTGTAGAACTACGAATTTTGCAAATTTTGATATTTTCGTACTTTTCTCAATATTTATGCATCTGAGAGCAAAAATGAAAGAGAGCAATATTGTTGAGAACAAAATTTGCTACAACTTTTGTTCTAAATTCTTTTTTGTTATATGCTCTGATTCCAAAGTGCTACCATTAAGAACTTGTAGAACTACGAATTTTGCAAATTTTGATATTTTCGTACTTTTCTCAATATTTATGCATCTGAGAGCAAAAATGAAAGAGAGCAATATTGTTGAGAACAAAATTTGCTACAACTTTTGTTCTAAATTCTTTTTTGTTATATGCTCTGATTCCAAAGTGCTACCATTAAGAACTTGTAGAACTACGAATTTTGCAAATTTTGATATTTTCGTACTTTTCTCAATATTTATGCATCTGAGAGCAAAAATGAAAGAGAGCAATATTGTTGAGAACAAAATTTGCTACAACTTTTGTTCTAAATTCTTTTTTGTTATATGCTCTGATTCCAAAGTGCTACCATTAAGAACTTGTAGAACCACGAATTTTGCAAATTTTGATATTTTCGTACTTTTCTTGATATTTATGCATTTGAGAGCAAAAATGAAAGAGAGCAATGTTGTTGAGAATAAAATTTGCTACAATTTTCGTTCTAAAAGTTTTTTTATAACGTGCTCCGATTCTTGAGTATTGTTCATGATATAAGAAATAATCTCGGCCGACTTCGAAGATGTCGGCCGCCCCGAGCATCACGAAGATATTTATGGGCGGCCGACGTCTTCGAAGTCGGCCGAGATATTTCTTCCATAAACTATGAGCAGGGTAGGCTTGGTTTCATGCTCAGAATCCGGAGTGATACTATTAACAACGTAAAACTACGATTTCAGCATATTTTTGTATTTTACTCGCTATTTATGCATCTGAGAGCAAAAATGAAAGAGAGCAATGTTGTTGAGAATAAAGTTTGCTACAACTTTGGTTCTAAAAGTTTTTTTGTAATATGCTCCGATTCCCGAGTGTTACCATTAATAAATTGTAGAACCACGAATTTAGCAAATTTTCGCACTTTTCTCAATATTTATGCATTTGAGAGCAAAAGTGAAAGAGAGCAATATTGTTAAGAATAAAATTTGCTACAACTTTCGTTCTAAAATTTTTTTTGTGTCTCTTTTTATAATCAAAATACTAATTTGTTAGTACCTTATTGTTTGAGTTACAGATAAAACTTGATGAATCATTTGATAAATAACAACCGGAACTGTGGCCCTTGTTGTTTCAATTGCAGGATCGTTGGTTGACATCCATTCAAGTTTTTCTTGTGATATAGCATTTCCTAACCACTCTGTATAATCTTTTTCAATGTTCTAAAAATAATAAAAAATTAATAACCTTTACATGTATAGTATGAATTAGAAACTAAATGAATTGGAATGGTTTACTAATGTATAAATTACTTGATAATGAAAAAATGCTTGATAAAAAAGTTCTTGCAGTACTGAGTCATAAAAGGCGATAAATGAAATGAAAACCTAAATTAATTAGTTCTTTACTTTGAGGTATTTTTGTTGTAACGTTTCTAACACGCCGTCGGGTAAGAGTGGTTCTAAATTTTGTGTGGATCTTGCTAAATCAGGGTGACCCATCAATTCTTCAGATTTGTAAGTATTTAGAGTCCAACTTAAGATTGAAACATACTCATTTCCTTCCAAACCGTTTTGAATAATTTCTTGCAACTAAAATGAGGTATTTTAAAAAGTAAATAACGAAAATATTTAGTTTTTTTACATGTCTTCGTAAACAATTATGGTACATTCTAACATAAGCATCAACAATGTTATATTTTTCGGGGAAACAAGGGACACAAAGTGTTTTAACAACTCTTAAATCTTCCAAAATCAATTGCCTCGTTAATTCTAAGTAAGTAACAAGCCACATTTTATTATTTTCTCTCTCATCGACTTGAGTACCCTCAATCCGTGTAGCGACGGCTTTTTCGAATACTTCAAAAGCCATTTTTCTCCATTCCTTAGGCCTCCCGGGTCTTGAGAAGGAGGTTTTTTCTTTATGGAGTTGCGCCTCCTCGTCTAATTTCTCCTCCCGTTCAACGATTCTTAAAGCTGTTACAATGACGGTGGGTTCTTTTCTCACTGTATTTAAAGTACGACTTAAAATTAATTTTAACTGTTTTTCTAATTTAACAGAAAGTACTTCGACGTCTTTAAAACACGCGCTAAGCATGTTTTTATCGAACGTCGATTGATTGGGTAAACGGTGTAACTCATAAAGTAAAGCATCACGGGAGTTTTCTAAATCCCTCAAACACTGGTGAGTATGCAATAATTTCCCTTCGTTTATCCATTTTTCAGTTCTCTCAACGCTTTCGGGTACGGTAAATATGTGTTTTAAGTTTTCTCGGGCTGTTACGTATTGAGAGTGGCGCATATTTTCTTCTCGAAGCTCGTTTAAACCGCCATAAAGGACTTCAACTTTAGGAAAGGTGTTTATTGCGTGTTTTAAGCTTTGCCCAATTTCTTGGGCTTCTTTTAAACATCTTTCGAGGGTCTTTTCGCTTTGTATGCAGGGTTCTGAACCAAAACTTAACCTAAAAAAACCTTCCACTGATGGTTTGTTTCTTATTACTGTTCTTTTGTGGTGTTCAATTTTGTCTAATTGGCCAGGACTTTGAAAGACGTCTTTTAAAAGTTTTAATGACTTTTTTTTCGCTTCGGCATTGGAATCTTTCATGTTGAATTTGTGTTTTTCTGAAGATTTAATGGGAGTTTATCGAAAGTTTATTCATTTAAGGGGTACTTACGATCGTTTGAAGACATTTTTTAAGATTAATTTATTTTTTTTTAGGTTAAGTTGTTTGTTGGCTCTCGAAAATTTGAGGTTAGGATAAATCAATATCTCTGCTTAGGTTGAATTATTTTAATGTTCCTTGATAAATAAATAAATAAAAACCTTCGAGTCAATATTTCCTTTTATTTAATTCCTACCAACGTTATTTATTTCACAAAAAGCTTCATAAATATACAGAAGTATTCTAAGTCCAAGCGAAATTTTGCAAAAAAAATTAGGTATTTACAATAAATTCACAATAATTACAACATATAAAAATTATTACAACAATAAATTAAAGTAAAAATGTTAGTACCTAAGTGATGTAATTGTAGTCTCTAAGAACAAACTACTTTTTGTTGTAAATTATTGAAGATAAAGAGGTATCCAAGAGACGCATGAAGTTCATTTTTTGATAATAATCAAAAATTAATAAAATTTAACAAATTAATATTTATGCATTTGAGAGCAAAAATGAAAGAGAGCAATATTATTGAGAATAAAATTTGCTACAATTTTTGTTCTAAAAGTTTTTTTATAACATGCTCCGATTCCTAAGTATTGTTCATGATATAAGAAATAATCTCGGCCGACTTCGAAGACGTCGGCCGCCCCGAGCATCATGAACATTATTTATGGGCGGCCGACGTCTTCGAAGTCGGCCGAGATATTTCTTCCATAAATTATGAGCAGGGTAGGCTTGGCTTCATGCTCAGAATCCGGGGTGATACCATTAATAACGTAAAACTACGAATTCAGCATATTTTTGTATTTTTCTCGATATTTATGCATCTGAGAGCAAAAATGAAAGAGAGCAATATTGTTGAGAATAAAATTTGCCACAACTTTTGTTCCAAAAGTTTTTTTATAACATGCTCCGATTCCTAAGTATTGTTCATGATATAAGAAATAATCTCGGCCGACTTCGAAGACGTCGGCCGCCCTAAGTATTGTTTNTTAAGAACTTGTAGAACTACGAATTTTGCAAATTTTGATATTTTCGTACTTTTCTCAATATTTATGCATCTGAGAGCAAAAATGAAAGAGAGCAATATTGTTGAGAACAAAATTTGCTACAACTTTTGTTCTAAATTCTTTTTTGTTATATGCTCTGATTCCAAAGTGCTACCATTAAGAACTTGTAGAACTACGAATTTTGCAAATTTTGATATTTTCGTACTTTTCTCAATATTTATGCATCTGAGAGCAAAAATGAAAGAGAGCAATATTGTTGAGAACAAAATTTGCTACAACTTTTGTTCTAAATTCTTTTTTGTTATATGCTCTGATTCCAAAGTGCTACCATTAAGAACTTGTAGAACCACGAATTTTGCAAATTTTGATATTTTCGTACTTTTCTTGATATTTATGCATTTGAGAGCAAAAATGAAAGAGAGCAATGTTGTTGAGAATAAAATTTGCTACAATTTTCGTTCTAAAAGTTTTTTTATAACGTGCTCCGATTCTTGAGTATTGTTCATGATATAAGAAATAATCTCGGCCGACTTCGAAGATGTCGGCCGCCCGAGCATCATGAACAATATTTGTGGGCGGCCGACGTCTTCGAAGTCGGCCGAGATATTTCTTCCATAAATTATGAGCAGGGTAGGCTTGGTTTCATGTTCAGAATCCGGAGTGATACCATTAACAACGCAAAACTACGAATTCAGCATATTTTTGTATTTTTCTCGATATTTATGCATCTGAGAGCAAAAATGAAAGAGAGCAATATTGTTGAGAATAAAATTTGCTACAACTTTTGTTCCAAAAGTTTTTTTATAACATGCTCCGATTCCTAAGTATTGTTCATGATATAAGAAATAATCTCGGCCGACTTCGAAGACGTCGGCCGCCCCTAAATATCTTCATGATGCTCGGGGCGGCCGACATCTTCGAAGTCGGCCGAGATTNCAATACTTGGGGCGGCCGACATCTTCGAAGTCGGCCGAGATTATTTCTTATAATATAATCTTATAATAATCTCGGCCGACTTCGAAGACGGCGGCCGCCCCGAGCATCATGAAGATATTTATGGGCGGCCGACTTCGAAGACGTCGGCCGAGATATTTCTTCCATAAATTATGAGCAGGGTAGGCTTGGTTTCATACTCAAAATCCGGAGTGATACCATTAATAACGTAAAACTACGAATTCAGCATATTTTTGTATTTTTCTCGATATTTATCTATCTGCGAGCAAAAATAAAAGAGAGCAATATTGTTGAGAATAAAATTTGCTACAACTTTTGTTCTAAAAGTTTTTTTATAATATGCTCCGATTCCTGAGTATTGTTCATGATATAAGAAATAATCTCGGCCGACTTCGAAGATGTCGGCCGCCCCAAATATTGTTCGTGATACTTGGGTTGGGAAAGAATCTCGGCCGACTTCGAAGACGTCGGCCGCCCCGAGCATCATGAAGATATTTATGGGCGGCCGACGTCTTCGAAGTCGGCCGAGATATTTCTTCCATAAATTATGAGCAGGGTAGGCTTGGTTTCATGCTCAGAATCCGGAGTGATACCATTAACAACGTATAACTACGAATTCAGCATATTTTTGTATTTTGCTCGATATTTATGCATCTGAGAGCAAAAATTAAAGAGAGCAATATTGTCAAGAATAAAATTTGCTACAACTTTTATTCTAAAAGTTTTTTTATAATATGCTCCGATTTCTGAGTATTGTCCATGATATAAGAAATAAGAAACTCGGTGTGATCCAAAACAACCTAAAAAATTTTTTTTAATTAATTTTTTTTTAGGTTAAGTTGTTTGTAGGCTCTCGAAAATTTGAGGTTAGGTTTAAATCAATATCTCTATAAGCAAATAAAAACGTGTCGAGTCAATATTTCCTTTTATTTAATTCCTACCAACGTTATTTATTTCACAAAAAGCTTCATAAATATACAGAAGTATTCCAAGCGAAATTTTGCAAAAAAAATTAGGTATTTACAATAAATTCACAATAATTACAACATATAAAAATTATTACAACAATAAATTAAAGTAGGAATGTTAGTGCCTAAGTGATGTAATTGTAGTCTCTAAGAACAAACTACTTTTTGCTGTAAATTATTGAAGGTTTGATTCGTTAAGTACATTTTTGACTTGATTAAAAACTTCATCGGGCGATAAAGAGGCATCCAAGCGACGCACCAAGTTCATTTTTTGGTAATAATCTATGATGGGTTTAGTTTCCACTTGATAAGTGTTAAATCGTTTCTTTAAACTTTCTAAGTTGTCATCCGATCGTCCACTTCCAGCTGCTCCTCTATTTAAGCACCTTTCCGTACAAATCTAAAAAAAAATTTATCATTGGAAAACAAAACAAGGTCAAGTGCTCATTACAAAATTATTTAATAACTCAATAGCAATTATTTCAAGGATGATTGTATAAAAATAATTGAAATAACTCACCTCTATTGGGCAATCGAAAAATAAAACCATTAATAACTGCACTTTACTTGCAACCCTTCTGTTCCACCCCTCTAAATTATCTTGATTTCTAGGAAAGCCATCAATTAAGAACCGTTCTTTCCCAGATTCTTCCATTGCTCGTTCCAACAAACTGCAAGTAATATCAACGGGAACAATTTTCCCTTCACGTATATAATTTTCAATAAGTTCACCATATTGCGAATTGGGGTTAGCTCTTTCCTCGCGGAGTAAATCTCCCGCCGAGAGATGTACAAAGCCAAAATCGCGCACAATGTTTTGGCATTGGGTTCCCTTGCCAGCACCGGGGCCACCGAGGACAAATACAACCTTTGGTACCATTTTGATAAATTGTTTCAACTTGCTCCTCAAGCCGGTGATCATAAAATATCTAAAAACATAACCCATTATCATACAATTCTTATTAGATTTATCCTCAATCTACCTTTAATTCACTAAAAAAATGGTGGGAAGCGATTCGCTAACGTAGGCTCAGTCAAGAACATCAAACACTTTACAGACATATATTTATATACGGCTACTAGCGCCATCTAACGAGCCAAATTGATTTTTGTTAAAAATTTGTTGGTAATTAATCAACAAATTAATATATATATTAATATTTATATATATTAATTGATTATTAATCATTAATCAATTTAATATATATATAAAACGCACAAAAATGATTATTTCTTTTATATATTGGTATAATCACATGAATATCACATAAATAAATCGATTCAGCACAAAATCATTTAGTGCCAATTCATCACTTTTCATTATTCGAGGCCACAAAATACGTTCTTTGTTATTAATTTTTATTATTTAGCAAAATGTTTCGAATAATATTTGCTTAAGAAGTAATTTAAAATCAATTTTGCAATTTAAATTTTCGAAATTTCCTCCAGGTGGCGCTCTACACTGCTATAAAAATGTTATTTTTTGAGGTTATCTTTATAATTAATGATTATATCGCAAAAATGTTTAAATAAAAGTTGTTTAGAATCAAATTAGGAACAAAGTTCGTTTGAAACATTTTTTAAAATTTTTGCTTGATTATTAATAACAAATTATTTTAATTTCCCTGTGAACAGTACTATATAGAAAAACACGAAAAGTGTTTCAAATAATATTTGCTTAAAAACTAATTTAAAATCAATTTTGCAATCCAAATTTTCTTAATTTCCGCTAGGTAGCGCCGTACACTACTATAAAAATGTAATTTTTGAGGTTATCTTCGTAATTAATGGTTGTATCGCAAAAATGTTCAAATAAAAGTTGTTTAGAATCAAATTAGGAACAAATTTTGTTTGAAACATTTTTTAAAATTTTTGCTTGATTATTAATAACAAATTATTTTAATTTCCCTGTGAACAGTACTATATAGAAAAACACGAAAAGTGTTTCAAATAATATTTGCTTAAAAAGTAATTTAAAATCAATTTTGCAATCCAAATTTTCTTAATTTCCGCTAGGTAGCGCTGTACACTGTTATAAAAATGTAATTTTTGAGGTTATCTTCATAATTAATGATTGTATCGCAAAAATGTTTAAATAAAAGTTATTTAGAATCAAATTAGGAACAAAGTTCGTTTGAAAAATTTAAAAAAATTTTTTTTTTTTTCTAAATTAACCAATTTTCAAAATTAACTTTTTAATTTTAAAAAATCTTTATTTAATTTGGGTATAAACCAATACTAAAAAGCGGGAAAGGCCCCGAACGTGAAGCAACAATGTAAAAGAAAAATATTTTAAATACCAAGAATGAGATAAGGTTCTTTCTTAAGGTTGCTCTTTATCATATACGCTTAGTCATGGATGTTTACACGAAACCACATTGTAGAAATAAAACACAAAATATTTATAAAATAACTTTAAATATTTAAACATAATTTATGGTTATACTTTTTTGAAACGTAAAAAAATCACGTTTTTGTTTACAACTAATGAATCATCGAAAGGAAAATCTTTACTGACGTCAACGTATTTTTCCAAAATCTTTTATTATAAAACCCATCTTTTCTTTTCTAACCTATCTCAACGATATTCTCATTGCAATATTTTCTTTAATTATCAATAATTATTATTTACTTATTAAAATGTGGTTTTCTCTACGGTTATATAAGATATTCATATTTCATTCTCTTATTATTATTTTTCCTTTCTTTAATAAAACCACAAGTTTCTCTGAAATAATATTTGTTGAATTGACGACTTTGAAATGGTTAATTTTAATATTATCTCAACGAAAGTTTCGGTTCATTAACGCGCGAGATAAACAAAACTTAAAAAATTTAATTAATCTTTTTTTATCTTCATGGACCAAGTTTATTTTTTCCAAAATCTGGCACGATTTTTATATACGCTTAATTAGTGTTCATGTGACTTGCATTTTCTTCGTGGTAAAATCACTACAAAAACGATAAAAAAAGAAGAGATGTTGAAGGTCACATAAATAAAACACAATAATAGATTATCGCGTTTTATGTTTTTATGTAAATTTTTTTTTCTTTTCATTTAAACAATTGTAAACGATTATTATTCGACGAAGGTTAATATGAATTGCAAATGGGTGTGAGTCGAAAATTTGTGGTTTTCTAGCATGGATTCGAGTACTATCGCTGGGTTTTTCCTTCGTTTGCGAGATCATCGTCAAGGCGAAATTCCCACTTAATCCTCGGAACCTGTTACACTTTTATATACATATAGCAGACGTCGCTCAGAACGCATCAGAACATATTAACACGGTTTACGTACAACATCTCTTACATTGTTTTTTTGTCAAAATTTTAAATTCCGAAAATGGTATGTTAAATTAAATTAATTTATCTGTATAAGTATATTTATTGATTTTTTGTTTTAGAAACTTCTAATCGTTTTATTACCATTAATAACTATATCATTGGCTCAACGACCATCATACGCAGGAACGAGACCGATTGGAAAACCAGAATTAGCGAGCAGATTCCGCGATCCAAATGAAGAAACTTCCACAATCACTTTAGGAAGTCGTCTTGGAGAAAACAGTGGGACTACATCAAGAATACCGGTTGATGCACGGGGAGACAACGAATTGGTGGATAGACTCAATGAGTGGCCCCGCGAGAATCGCCCATTTTGGTTGTTAAACTTCGAGCAAATTGAAAACCAGAGGAATCAAAGACCAACTGCTCCGCCAGTTCAATCGCGCTTTGCAGAATCCGAAACGATCCCTGTTAGGCCAGAACTTCCCGTTCCATCGTTTTTAAGTAATCAAAGACAAAGGACTTAAGAAGATAGAAAAAAGTAATCAAAGACAAAGGACTTAAGAAGATAGAAAAAAAGTTGTATGTGGACTATTTTAGTGTTATTGTGATAAATTTGTAATGTTTCTTTTGATTTTATAAATTTGTAAGTAAGAATTAATCATTTTTGTTGATATATATAAAATAAACGTTTTTGTCTCTTAATACATAATTTATATTTTAGTTTTATTTTTTTAAACCGGTTTCTACTATTTCTTTACTGATTTTATCGTTGAAACAGAAAGAAGTTTTCGTTTTTTATTTCTTATTTAGAAAATTTTCTGCTCACCTTGAAAATTCCAAGATTTCAATAAATCATGATTTTTCAAAGAAATAGGAATTGCCAAAAGTGATTCTTTTCCGTATTTGACTTCATAAATGATGAGGAATACGATGGAATTCAAATTAAATTGATCAGAAATTCTGCACAACTCGAAATTTCAAAGTACACTGCCATAAAAATGATATTTTTGAGGCTATCTTCATAATTAATGGTTGTATCGCAAAAATGTTTAAATGAAAGTTGTTTAGAATCAAATTATGAACAAAGTTTGTTCGAAACATTTTTTTAAATTTTTGCTTGATTATTAATAACAAGTTATTTTAATTTTCCTGTGAACAGTACTATATAGAAAAACACGAAAAGTGTTTCAAATAATATTTGCTTAAAAAGTAATTTAAAATCAATTTTGCGATCCAAATTTTCTTAATTTCCGCTAGGTAACGCTGTACACTGTTATAAAAATGTAATTTTTGAGGTTATCTTCGTAATTAATGGTTGTATCGCAAAAATGTTCAAATAAAAGTTGTTTAGAATCAAATTAGGAACAAATTTTGTTTGAAACATTTTTTTTAATTTTTGCTTGATTATTAATAACAAATTATTTTAATTTCCCTGTGAACAGTACTATATAGAAAAACACGAAAAGTGTTTCAAATAATATTTGCTTAAAAAGTAATTTAAAATCAATTTTGCAATCCAAATTTTCTTAATTTCCGCTAGATAGTGCTGTACACTGCTATAAAAATGTAATTTTTGAGGTTATCTTCATAATTAATGATTATATCGCAAAAATGTTTAAATAAAAGTTGTTTAGAATCAAATTAGGAACAAAGTTCGTTTGAAACATTTTTTTAAATTTTTGCTTGATTATTAATAATAAATTATTTTAATTTCCCTGTGAACGGTACTACATATACATTATGGGTAAAACACGAAAAGTGTTTCGAATAATATTTGTTTAAAAAGTAATTTAAAATCAATTTTGCAATCCAAATTTTCTTAATTTCCGCTAGGTAGTGCTGTACACTGCTATAAAAATGTAATTTTTGAGGTTATCTTCGTAATTAATGGTTGTATCGCAAAAATGTTCAAATAAAAGTTGTTTAGAATCAAATTAGGAACAAATTTTGTTTAAAACATTTTTTTAAATTTTTGCTTGATTATTAATAACAAGTTATTTTAATTTCCATGGGAACAGTACTATATAGAAAAACACGAAAAGTGTTTCAAATAATATTTGCTTAAAAACTAATTTAAAATCAATTTTGCAATCCAAATTTTCTTAATTTCCGCTAGGTAGCGCCGTACACTACTATAAAAATGTAATTTTTGAGGTTATCTTCGTAATTAATGGTTGTATCGCAAAAATGTTCAAATAAAAGTTGTTTAGAATCAAATTAGGAACAAAGTTTGTTTGAAACATTTTTTTAAATTTTTGCTAGATTATTAATAAAAAAATTATTTTAATTTCAACTTATTATTTTATGTTTTTAAATTTAAGACCCGCTTGACGTCACATATTCAAGCACATGGCTTTATTTATAGTCAAATAGAGACAAAATAAGGAGTCAAGTTTTTGATAGATCTCGCATTTACCGATAAAGTTGAATACAAACTTTGCCATCTAACGGATTTGTTTTAATTAGAACAAATATCCGTTGGATTAAAGATTCCTATGTTTATAAACCAAATGTCACTTAACGTCGTCATATATGTCAAATTTTTATAACATGACAGCTCATCTACTATCTATTGTAGATATATTTTGATAAACCACTTAAAATTAATTGTTGTTCCATAACATTTTATCCATATGTCAATGGATAAACAGTTTAAAGTGTGTTTGTGAACAATAAGAATATATTATAGACAGTAAGTATATATAAGCATGAATACAATTGTATATTATCTAATCTAGGCCGTAATATTCCTAGATATCTTCAAAACTGTTCTAAAATGTTGGAAAACGACACATGTCGTTCGTTTACCCACGACAATTTAACCCAGATTGGTAATGTTTATGAAGGAATTCCAGAGACTTTTCTTCTTAATTTGGCAACATGGGTCTTGTTATTGTTATTGTTTGCGGTTCTAAGAAACCGCGCGTGGGATTATGGAAGGTTAGCTTTAGTACAAAACGAAAGATGGACGCAATTATTTTATAAGTCATCTTCCACAAGTCAAGCTTGCCAAGAAAGCAGTAGAGAAGCATTATTAGACACTGATGTTGGATGTAGATGGATACCAACAATTTTTATGATTAATAAACAAAAGATTTTTGCTAGATGTGGCCCAGATGCCTTGCACTATTTATCTTTCCAACAACATTTGTTAGGCTTAATGGGAATAATTATGATTATATCAATATGTGTTATCCTCCCAATAAATTTCCAAGGAAATTTACAAGGAAATGTTAACACCTTTGGGCACACAACAATCAGTAATCTAGAGTCAACATCAAATTGGCTTTGGGTACACATTGTAACAGCACTTGTTTTTGTTCCCTTAACAATATTAATAATGCGAAGATGTTCAAGCCATATTCCAAGTTCAACCTTAGTTTCATCTAGAACCATTATGATCACAAACATATCGCATGCACATCGAAATACCGAAGACATAAAAAATTATTTATCATACTGTTTTCCAAATTTGATTGATATAAAAGATATCCAACTTGCTTATCGAATCAAACAATTAATGCATGTTGAAGAACAACGAATGGCGGCCCAAGATTGTTTAATGTATTGCGTAGGCAACAAGGCAGCCAACGTTAAAGTCAGAAAAAACGGATGCATCGTTTGTTGTCGATGTAATTTAGAAGATGCGGAACTGTATTATTCCGAATTAGAAAACGAATTGAACGCGTTAGTACGAGAAGAACGCCACGTGGCAATCGAAAGACCATTAGGAATATGCTTTGTCACTTTTGAAACAGAAGAACAAGCCAAATATGTCGTCGAACAATTTGTTCCTGGAACATTAAGAAAATGGAGTATTTGGCGCGCTCCAAGCCCATCAGATATCAACTGGGAAAATTTGCAAATCTCAATGAGATATTGGTATTCGAAAGCTATAATCATAAATTGTTTGCTTTTTATTGTATTCTTTTTCTTGACAACTCCCGCTGTCGTTGTAAGCACTTTCGATTTTATTTCAACTAAAGATTACATCAACAAAATCACCCCGATTTTCTCCGAATTTCTTCCAACCCTTATCTTATTAACAATGTCGGCTTTGATGCCTGTTATTGTAGCGTATTCAGATCAGTGGATGTCTCACTGGACAAAATCAAAACAAAACTTAGCTACAATGAACAAAACATTTATATTTTTATTATTTATGGTCCTCATTTTGCCGTCGTTGGGGTTAACTAGTGCCCAAGCTTTTGTTGAGTGGTCAATTCAAAACAAGAATAAAACTATGCGTTGGGAATGTATCTTTTTATCGGATAAAGGTGCATTTTTCGTCAATTATGTCATCACTTCCGCTCTTATCGGTACAGGACTTGAATTACTCCGATTCCCAGAGTTAGCAATGTACGTCTGGAGGGTTTTGTGGATGAAATCTAAAGCGGAAGTCATCACTATACGAAAACAAATTCTCGCGGTCTTTCCATTCGGCATACACTATTCCTGGACGTTGCTAATATTTACGATAAGCACCGCTTACAGCTTAATATGCCCTTTAATCACACCGTTTGGATTCCTGTATCTTTGTCTTAAACATTTAGTGGACAAGCACAATATTTACTACGTCTATAAACCTATAACAATGTCTGAAGAAGGTCATCAAATCCATAGTTCCGCCGTTCGATTAGTTCGAGTTGGGGTAATGTTACTTCAAACGACAATGGCAGCTTTTGCAACAATCCGTGGTGGTTTTAGTTTAATGGCGATTATTACCATTTTAGGATTATTCGGTTCATTAGGATTTTTCTTTATGCTAAGTCCATTTCCGTCATGCCGACCGAAACAACGAAGCAATTCCCACGATGTACCCACCGATGCCGACAGTTACATAGCTCCCGTTTTAGTCACTTCCGATCAGATCTCACCCATATCGGTTATTAGCAATCAAAACGGGTATGGATCTTCTACCGTCACCGACGACGAAATCGTTTTATCTCGTCCGGGGTCCAGTATGGCATAAACTATCCCTTTTCCCCGCTTTTAACCTGACCAGGGCTGTGAGACTGTATTAAAAAAATATCGTTGTGAGGTTGTGGATGAGCTTTATCATTTTTTTTTGTTAAACAATTTCTTTTTAAATAAATACCTCGTTTGAGATTTACCTTTTATTTTATTTTTCGTTTTCTTGCCGTTATTAAAAAAAGATGTTTCTATATTTTTGTTATAATGTGTTATTTGTAATCTATGTATTGTATTTTAATATATTTTACTATATACTGATAAAAATAAATTCTGTGCATATTTAGAAAAATTTTTTTTTTTTACATTTTGATAACTATCCCAAAAATAGATGGTTGTTCATGGCAATTAATAAGGAGATAGTGGGGGTATCACAGTTCACCTACTTGGGGAACGTGATTAATGAGGATTGGGACCATTCTCAGGAGATGATGTGCAAAATAGAGATAGCAAGAGCCGCCTTAAATCAGCTGGCTAAACTGTTTAAAAGTCCCAACCTCGATATCGATATCAAAATCAAACTCGTCAGATGCAATGTCTGCTTGGTGCTTTTCTATGGAGTGTACACTAGGACCCAAGGAGGAACCAATGCAGTACATAGAAGACTCTAAGCTTGACTCTAAGTGTAGGAATGTTCTACTGACAGATTTAAAAATCGAATTTTTTCTTTCTGCTTCTTTCGACGGCTTCCCTAAGTATTGTTCATGAAGTCCCTAAATATTGCTCATGACACTTGGGGCGGCCGACGATTATTTCTCATATCACGAACAATATAGAGACAGTTGGGCACCCTGCTTGAAATTTGTGGAAGGAATAATCTCGGCCGACTTCGAAGACGTCGGCCGCCCTAAGTATTGTTCATGATATATGGGGCGAGATTACTTCTTATATCATGAACATATTATTATTATTGCTGCCGGACTGAGAAGGGCGGCCCCTCTCGTTACCGCGACCAATAAGATCTATTGTAACTTTTGCCCTCCAAAGGTTTAGGGCAAATGTAGGTCCTTAATGAACCTTAGTATTGTCCTGAGGTCTTGAACCTTTATGTCGGTAGGTAACAGGGGAGTTTTACCGAAGACGTTGTGCCTTAGACGGCCTCTGGCGACGCAATTGCACAGTATATGTATATACTATAACTTGTATATATCGACAAGTTTGATCCTCAGCTTGTCTAATGTGGAAGAGGTGGTATTTTAGGGGCACATGGCCGGTTAGGTAGCCTGAGAGCGTTCTTAGATCCCCTTTGCTGAGGCATAAAACCTCTTTGGTTTTGTTTTGCGACGGAGTTATCATACTCTTCGCTTGTCTGTGACCTGGAAGTTCTTTCCAGCGTAAGGCTATCTTTGAAGCCTCCCAGTTGTTGATTATTTGTTTTAGGTGGCTTTTTTGTAGTCCACATCCAGGTTGGGGTCCAATGAAGGGCGTGTTTGCTGCCTCTTTGGCCAGCTTGTCGGACTTCTCATTGCCCCTAGCGAGTTCTCTCAGGTTGTTGGTACACTCTCTGATCAGTGCGGAGCCACACGTGTAGGTCTGAATTGCCTTTAAGGCGGCCCGACTGTCTGTGAAAATGTTTATGGATGCACCTTTTTGTCCCTTCTGTAGGTTCAAAGCGGTTTTTTATAGCAAGAACTTCTGCTTGGAAAATTGTTAAGTCCGAGCTGAGGGGCAATTTGATGTGGCTATTTGGTCCACTATCTCGTCCGGGGTCCAGTATGGCATAAACTACCCTTTTTCCCCGCTTTTAACCTGACCAGGGCTGTGAGACTGTGAGACTGATGCCCATGCCTACTCCAGATCTTACTGTCTTTGAAGCATCGGTGTACCAGGCTAGGGCTCCTCTTTTTAGTTGAGGCCCTCCTTTCGCCCAATCATCCATGCTACTAAATATGACCTTATACGGTTGGTTGAAATTGTATTCCATCGGTATGAGAACGGTATCATGAACATAACTTGGGACGGCCGACGTCTTCGAAGTCGGCCGAGATTATTTCCTATATCATGAACTATACAGTATCATTAACACCCAGTTATTATTACAAATTTAATATAAATAAAGTTTCTTAAAATAGTAACTAAGGAGATAGTTGGGTTGAGTTGGGTTGGATTGGATTGGGTTGAGTTGGGTTGGGTTGGGTTGGGTTCAGTTGAGCTGTATTAGCGGGAACTCTCTGGAATCTGTGCTATGACAGAGTGTTGAGAATGCGCCTTGAAGAGAACGTAAGAGTAGTTGCGTACGCCGACGACCTGGCGGTGATTGTGCGAGGCTCCGATGGAACGCAGATAATAGACAAAGCGCAGTACTGCATATCCCAAATAGAAGAGATCTTAAAGGGACTGGGCCTCCAACTGGCACTACAGAAAACAGAGATGGTTATCCTGGAAGGAAGAAGGAAGCTAACAAACCTACAAGTAAATATAGGCGAACATACCGTCCAAAGCTCTCCGTCGGTAAAATACCTGGGAGTTAACATCGATAAAGACACAAGAATGACAACGCATGTCAAGAAAATAACGGAACGAGCGTCCGGCATCGCGGGCTCCATGTCACGTCTCATGCCCAGGATAGGCGGCCCGAGACAGAGCAGAAGAAGATTGCTAGCCACCGTGGTGAGGTCGGTCGTCCTCTACGCGGCTCCTGCCTGGGAGGATGCGCTGAAACATAAGAAATACGTCAACATGCTACGAACAATAGAGAGAAAGATGTCTATCAGCGTCACGTCGGCGTATAGAACAACATCTACCGACGCGGCAGGGGCCTTAGCGGGCTGCCCACCATACGACCTTCTTGCCTGGGAACGGGCCGAGAACTGGCGAACCAAGGGCCTATGCAAGGAACAGACACGAGCGAAGATCCTAGACCGATGGCAGGATAGATGGATGGGGTATGGCGGATGGGCGCGCACTTTTATAGCCGACGTGCGAGTCTGGCAGAAGGAAGGGCCAGAGACCGACTATTACGCAACACAAGCGATAGTAGGGCACGGCAGCTTCGGGACTTACCTGAAGGAGATCAGGAGGAGGGAAAGTGACGAGTGTTGGTTCGGTTGCGAGGTTCCGGACACCCCGGCTCACACCATTTTCGAGTGCCCGAAGTTTGACGAAGTTAGGCGACAGGCAAAGGATAAGGTCGGTAAAGAGGTGACCGAGGGAAATGTGGCGGAAATGTTAGTGAGAAGTGAGGATTCCGGACTTGCGGTGATGGAAATGCTGAGGGAAATCATGAAGATCAAGGAGAGGGATGAATACAAATGGGAGGCAACACGAGAGGGGGGACACAATCCCCCCTCATCCGGGTAGGTACAGAATTAATAGTATTTCAAAAAGTAACATTTTGTATGTACTGGAGAACAACCTGACAAGAAGGAGGAAGGAGGGAAAGCGTCATCCGGGAGATAGACCGGAGAGAGAGAGGAAGGAGGAACAAGAGAGTAGAGAGGAATAGAGAGAGAGGTGTTCCCATTTCCGGGAGGAAGAGGGGGAGCATCCCCCCATCCGGGTAAGAATAAAAACTTTAACATTTCAAAAAGTAAGATCATTTATGTCTCCCAACGGACGATGAGAGACCAGGGAAGAAGTGGAAGGGAGAAGAAGAGGAAGTTTGAACGGGGGAGTAGTAAATGCAGAAGCGTGCTTCCATTTCCGGGAGGAAGAAGGGGAGCAATCCCCTCCAACCGGGTAAGAGTAAAAACTTTAATATTTCAAAAAGTAAGATCTTTTATGTTTCCCAACGGACGATGAGAGACCAGGGAAGAGGTGGAAGGAAGAGGAAGAAGAAGGAGTTTGAGTGGAGGAGTAGGAGGTGGAGAGACGTGTTTCCATTTCCGGGAGGAAGAAGGGGAGCAATCCCCTCCATCCGGGTAAGAGTAAAATTTTTAACTTTTCAAAAAGTAAGACCTCTTATGTGTCCAAACGGGGGGAGAGAAATCGTGGAAGAAGCGGAAGGAAGTATTGACTGATTGACCAGTCGAGGAGATAGAGGAAGAAAAGGGGGGAGATGAAGGGATCTTCAACGAGAGGAAGAATTCTGATGCTTTAAGAAAGGTATGAGGGAGATAAAGAGATAGAGAGGAAAAGGAGTAAAAAGAGAGGAAGGAATCTTATTTCGAACCTGGGAAGAAGAATTCCAATATAAAGCCCGAAGAAATGCCCGAGAGGGCGGTTCCGGGCAGAGGAAAGGGGTTTTTAGTGGGTCGGAGTCTCACAGATGAGCTCCAACCCCACACTATCCGGCCGTTCAAGACCGTTAGGCCGTCTGATAACAGATTTTCCCCGACCTCTAAAAAAAAAAAAGGGTTCAGTTGAGCTGAGTTGAGTTGAGTTGGGTTGGGTTATTCATAGTAATTGGTAAGGAGACAGTTGGGTACCTTGCTTGAAATTTATGTATACTACATGTATCATGTATACTACGGGCCTTGCAAAGTCAAGATGTGAAACGGATCAATCAAGTCGGAATAGTCTATGGAGCGGGCATATAATCTGAACTAGAATTTTATCAAAATTCTCACATTTCTTAAAGTTTCTGTATTGCAGATGAGATTTAAGCTTTATTGTGCTATTTTAATTCCAATATCTATTGACAAATGGTCTTTTACTCCTTCTCTTCTTCTTTATCATTCCCTCAAAATGCCATCACAGCGTTGGGGTTTCGTTGGGATCCATCTTTTAAAACACTTCCTTCTCTACGTCCTTTTATAACGATATTCCTTGTCTACTTTCTAAAATAACACGAAAAGAAAACGTTGTGATACATTATCTTAGAAATTACATTTAAATTTTGTATCACCATCTATGATTGTAAATATAAATACTAAGATTTCTACATTATCGGCTGATTAAACAAAGCTTCTGCTTTATTTTCCACACGTCATATTTGTGCAAGTATCCAAAAATAGGTTACGTTTAGAGGAGAAGCGGTTTGTGATTAACACGGTTAGTAATTTCCGTGCAACAGTTCTGATAGAATAGTCGTAATCTTGAATTTGAAAGGTTCGGTACAAGCTGTGTAATAAGTTTGTGACGGAAGTAAATCGAAAACCCGTCCCAAAAGCGTTGACGCCCCCGGTAAGTTTTCCTCGTAATCCACAAACGTGTATTAAATCATTTTCGCGGAAACCCCGGTTAAATTCACACTTAAACATGGCTTAATTGCGTGGTAATTTTTCGTGAATAAAAAAAGGAAAATAAAAGAGCATCAACCCCCTCAAAGGGGTATGTTTATTGTTTTTATATGAATCTCCACCGATAGATGGCGGTAAAAAAGGTTAAAGGGCGTAGGTTTTCCCTTCCTGGAAACCCGGCACTCAGTATCCCAATCAAAATGATCCGGTAATCACCACATAGAAAAGCCAATTTTATTAGTATGTTTAAAAGTTGTTGTGGGTGCAAAAAGAACGATAACAAAACAGTCTTAACTAAAACCGCCCCAAAATTAAAACGCACAAACTCTCCCCCAAAACGAGTTTCAATCATATCCGACGTAAAAATTGAGATTTCCGACAACGACGACGACGTCTTTTGCGAAGGCGTTGGACCGCCGGTCAAATTGGCTGAAAATCTTGGAACGCCAGATCAAGTCTTAACATTGCCCAGGTGGTTCTCGTCCGATGAGAAAGAATTGGACGGGATACAAGAACCACCCGCTACTCCCGTTGGAAAAGACGAACTTGCCCTTCGAAGACATAGACTCTTTTCTGAACTTCTACAAGCCGCTCAACACGCCAACGAACACAGAGTTCGTTTTGATCCTTTAGGACCAAAAGTTGCCCTTGGTGAGATTCAAGAAAAAACTCACTTTTTTTTTAATCTTATGCACTCTGCAAATTATTTTTATTTTTAAACACAATATTGACACATTGTTTTTATTTTAATCATATCATCCATTGTTTCTGGTTCTAACACTGGATCTAGAACCAGAACTGAATGTTTCTAAGTCAAGTGTTAGTTCTAAATGATTAGATAATCGATTTATTTTGATCCAAATTATTATTTGGTGGGAAAATTTAAGGTACTTAGATATTTTCCATCCGATTCGTATGTATCAAAATAATCTAGGCAATTTTTAGATGGTTCGTTTGCCAAACGACTCCAAAAATACAATCTTGCTCATCCTTCGCGTTAGAATCTTTCCCGTTTTCAAATGGAAAATTTTAGATGCATTTTGAAAACTTGAGAAAAAAAATGATGACGTAATTTTGTGATTTATCTAAAAGACCTTGATTATAAATGGTGTAAATATACATAAATAAAATCGTTTCCTTTTATAGAGAAATTGGGTTAAGCTGAATTAAAAAATTTATTTATTTTGCAATTTGATTTTAAAATACATTTTTCGGAATAATATTAATAAAGGTGAACTTTCTCGTGTGTGACTAATAAACATTTACAAGCTAAACATTTTATTTATGAGTCATTTCGTATTCGTTAATCAGCGAACAGCGGTTCATTTTATATCTTAACTTCCTTATAAGTGGAGGTTGTTTCCACAAACATTTTTACCGATATTGAATATATATTATCGCAATTTATGTTATCAGAACGATAAACCATAAAGATTAAGTTCATAAGTGTGACATTTAGATACCATTTTTGGGAACGTTCACGCTTCACAGCACTTCGAGGTGAGCCAAAATTGATTGAACAAAAAGCCGTTGTAATGATTCACCAAATAATTTTATTTTATATACTTGTTATACAATAAAGTTTAAATTATTTTTATTTTCAGCAACTTGTGAATATCCCGAGCTAGAATCGCTTATATTACGGTTGGAGGACGTCACAGCACGATTAGAATCATTACACGTTACAAATCAACTTATACAGTAAGTTGCAAAAATTAATAAAACATTTTTTTTGTTATAGGTGTATCATGTTCGGGTTTTGACCTGAATTTAGATTAATTAACGCAATCTTGGTTGCCTATATATCGCTTTAATATTTTTTTTTCTGTAATTTATTCTAACTTATAACACTTTTTAGTTGAATGAAATTACTTAACCCTTTGTGTCCCGACGGTACTTTAAAGTACCGGTAATTTTAAACACTCATTTTAAACTGTAGTTATCTATTCGGCGCATTTAGAGCTGTCTGTACTTTCTACTATACAAGTGTATACAAGAAATAATCTGTATAAAAAACGTCGCAATCCGCACTGTAGGATTTTTAGGTACACTTTAAACTTATTCATCCAGATGTGAGGTTAGAAGTTTAGTGAAAAGTGGTGCTGTTGAATTTTGTTGTTCAAGAAGGTATTTCTTTGATAAATGGTTATTAGGTGTGATTATTACAGATCATTTTAAAAAGAAAACATTGAGCTTAAATTTAAAATAAGTCTCATTCCTTAATTTCAATAAACATGGTTTCTAAGAATTTTTAAATTAGCATCTTTTTTGACTCTTTTAAATGTAAGTGTTGTTTCAACATTTTTTTTCTTAATATTTTTCCAATCCAACCCA